GCGATTGGAGCTGTACATTTTGTATGGCTCTATTCGCACCAAAAGCATGCAGGACCCTTTTTTTTTTTGGTCCGCACTAGAATCGGATCGCACGGGTATTCACAACTATGCGATCCGATTCTGCACATCGCACCGCGTTTTGAGGACCGATTTCGGGGTGTTGTTAACTTATCGTACACACCCGCAGCGGTTCGCATAAACTGGATGTGATTCTGATGGGGTGCGGGATTCACATAGAACACTCTGCGAATTCCGCACCGCATCCATGTGAACCCGGGCTCAATTGCGATATGACTCGAGTCGTGGTTGTATACGCTAGATTATTTTTTTTTTCTTTGCTAATTTTTTTTTTCCCCTCTAAAGTGGAGTTACCCTATAACTCGTAGTGCGCCTGCACTTTTCACAAAGTGTCAGAATTCCTGGAATTCAGTTTTAAAAAACGCTGCAATCCAGAGCTGCCCCCACGGTAATTGACTAGATGTCCTTCACTTTCTGGGTTGAATGATGGTCAGCATCATTGAACCTACTTCTTCCAATCCCAGGCTCTCACGGACCCACCCCTAAGCTGGGTAATACAGTGGAGAGGTCCTCTTTTTGATGGGGCTTTAAAGGTACAGACAATCACTAAAAAGTTAGATACCAAAGAAATGTTCCAATAAATACAACACTTCTATTATACCAACATCATTGCGCCAATGTAATAAAGAGAAGAAATACGCTCACTGGATGCTGCTATTATTAAAAAACTCAAAATAATAATAAAAATGTGAAAAATATACAAATCACAAATAATAGCGCAAACCAAACACACAACAACTAAATATAACCACCACCAAATAAGTGCATATTAATAGTGCAAACAAAAAATCAAATAGGGAATCTCAATATAGTCCATTCAGAAAAGTCCATATAACATGATCCTCAGTAAATGAAGTAATGAGATCCTCCTTCATAAGCAATGTGGTATCCAGTGCTCAAAAACACCCCATCAAAATGCACACTCACCATGTGCTAGTAATTAACCAGCATGTCAGTATATATCCAGCATTCACCAAAGTCTGTTTGGTGAATGCTGGATATATACTGACATGCTGGTTAATTACTAGCACATGGTGAGTGTGCATTTTGATGGGGTGCTTTTGAGCACTGGATACCACATTGCTGCGTTTGCATACCGCGTTTATGCGTGTTTTTTAAAGATAACCTCAGGAGACCTTCCAAAATGCCCAGAATGCACTGAAAAACAGTAAAAAAATTTACTATTTCAGACATTTTGAGAGAGCAGAAGCAGTATGTGTGGAGATGACCGATCTTTTTTGGTTGTATTCACTATGGATCCCAGCCAGGGGCGGACTGACTATTTGGAAACTCGGGCACTGCCCGAGGGCCCGTGGTCAGTAGGGGGCCCCATGAGATGCCCCTGGTACCTTTTTCATAGGCTTTTTTGAGTTTGGGCAAGGACACAGGGGCCCCATGATTCCCTATTGCCCGGGGGGCCCCATGAGTTGTCAGTCCGCCCCTGATCCCATCATTATTATTATTATAATACAGTATTTATATAGCGCTGAAAGGTTTGCTCAGCGCTGTACATTATAGTGGGGGACAGAACATGAGACAATACAGTAACAATACAATACACGAGGGGTTCGAGGGCCCTGCTCCTTGGAGCTTACAATCTAGGAGGGAGGGGATAGTGGTACAGGAGGAAGTGGCTATGGGGGATGGAGTGGTGGGAGGAGTGGAGGAGATCCACTGTTAGGTGAGGGCGGGGTAGGCTTCCCTGAAGAGATGGGTTTTCAGGGTGCGCCTAAAGGTGAGGAGGGTAGGTGACAGTCTGATAGATTGGGGTAGTGAGTTCCAAAAAATGGGGGAGGTCCTGGAGAAGTCCTGCAGTCGGGCGTAGGAGGTGGAGACCAGGAGCTAGAAAGTAGGAGGTCTTGTGAGGAGTGAAGATTACGGTTGGGTGGTATTTGGGTATCAGGTCAGTGAGGTAGTTATGAGCATAACGCGGCACGTTCTACCATTGTCTCCTTCACGCGAAACCTGCAACTGACTGCGTTGGTGTACCGGGTCCATTTGAATACATGGAAAACGCTTTGCATGCATTTTTGATGATGAAAAAAAGGCTCTGGACAGCATGGAACAGGCTATGGAACAGTTAAAAAACGCTTCTAAACGCGGTTAGCCGCGTTTACAAGCATTTGGCGTTTGAAATGCTGATAAAATCTACTCCTGAACACAAGTTCGGTGCGTTCAAAAAAACGACTGTAAACTCAACTGCCTGTAAACGACTGTAAACGACGATGTGTACACGGACACAGATGGGGGGGGGGGGGGGTGTGGGGGGGGGGGGGGGGTGGGGTGTTGGTTGGTGTGGTTGTGGTGTGTGTTGTTTTTTTTTTTTGTTTTTTTTTTTAAACATTAGGGAGAGTTCAGGGGCTGCTGAAAAAAAAACGCAGAAAAGCTCCTAAACGCGAATTTATCAGCTGCAGTGTACATGAGCCCTAACTTATCCGTCCTTTTTTTTTTTTTTTTTTACAATTGTATGCATAAAAATTGATTGCCTTTTAACTGTTGAACTGTCAGTCCACTATTTGATAAACCTGTGCCTTTCAAGTCCCATCAAAAAGAGGACCTCTCCACTGCACTTTCTCAGGGATGATGGCACCTCTTTTATTGCATCTCTTCCTTTTTCTAACCTTGGTAATGGCTAGGGAATGAGAATCTGCGCAGTGACGAGCGCATCTCTCTGTCTGCACATGAACTGATTGGCTTCTTGCATTGCTTCTGCCGCTCCCCTTCTGAACCCTGTTGTATAAGGTCTGCAAGAGACGGTGCCCATCGGCAGCAGATCTTCTCCCTTCTCTCTTCTCACAGGAGACTCGGCGGCAGCGGGAGCCGTTGGCTGCTGTAAGCCAAATCCTGTGAAGAGAGATCGGGGAGGTTGCAGGGCCATGCCATGCTGTGTGTGTCTATGAACGCACATTGCCCAGCTTGGGAGCACACCCACATGAGTGCCCCCATGGTAGCCGGCTTGCTATGGGGGCACTCAGAGAAGAGGAGAAGCGGTGAGTGCTGGCAAGGGAACCCAAGAAGAAGAGGATCGGGCTGCTCTGTGCAAAACCATGACACAGAACAGAAAGAATAGCATGTTTATTATTTTTTTTTAAAATTGAAGCTTTACAAGCTCCTAAATGATGTATTAACCACTTGCTAATCCCCTGCAATACATTTACTGCAACAGATCAGCTTGTACAGGCGCAATCACGTACATGTATGTTACGGCTTTCTTCCAGGTCAGTTCGCGCATGCTGTGCTGTCATTGGCCACGGCACAAGCTGATCAGCGGGTCCCGGCCAATTATTTATGGCCAGAACCCACTGATCGGCTCAGCGAATGACAGAAGAGAGCCCTGTGTTGGTAAACAACACAGAATTCTCTTCATACAGCAGAAATGTGCTGGGTTTTTTTCTCCCTGCAAAACAGGCAGTAAAAACCAGCACATTGCTTAGTAAAACGGCACACAGTAAACACTCTTAGGCACATATTTAACCCCTTGATCGCCCTAGATCAGGGGTGGGCAAACTGTGGCTCTCCAGCTGTTGCAGGACTACAAGTTCCATCATGCCTCTGCAAGTCATAGCTGTAACTGTCAGTTTTTTAATGTTGCAATGCCTCATGGGAAATGTAGTTCCACAACAGCTGGAGAGCCGCAGTTTGTCCACCCCTGCCCTAGATGTTAACCCCTTCCCAGCCAGTGTCATTAGTACGGTGACAGTTCATATTATTAGCACTGATCACTGTATTAGTGTCACTGGAGATGTCAGTGGCAGTTAGTCAGTCCCCCCCATGTCAGTTAGTGTCAGATTGCCCAACGCGCTATCACGTTCCCATTATAAGCTGCTGATCAATGCCATTATTAATGTAAAAAGCTAAATATAAATATGTCTTTATATGTACCATAGTTTGTAGACGCTATGACTTTCACAAAACCAGTAAATATACACTTATTGGTATTTTTTTTTATTTTTTTATCAAAGACATGTAGCAGAATACATTTTGGCCAAATTTATGAAGAAATTAGATTTTTTTTTTATATTTTTTCATCGGATGTTTTATAGCAGAAAGTTGAAAAAATTGTTTTGTTTTGTTTTTTTTTGGTCTTTTTTTCATTTTACCGTATATAGCAAAAATTTAAAAATAAAAAACCAAGTGGTGATCAAACACTTCCAAGGGAAAGCTCTATTTGTGTAGAAAAAAAGTGCTATAAAATTTGTTTGCATACAGCATTGCATGACCACGCAATTACCAGATAAAGTATTGTAGTGCCGAACTGCAAAAAAATGGCCTGGTCATGAAGGGGGTAAAATCTTTTGGAGCTCAAGTAGTTAATTAATAAAGAACCAATGTTATGTCTTTCTACACTTTAGTTTCCAGTTATAAACATTGAAATTGGCCTGACACCCTTCTACCATTCAAGCCTTTTTATTATTATTATTACTATACAGGATATATATATAACGGGAGACAATACAGCAACAATACAGTTCAATACAAGAGGGTTAGGAGGGCCCTGATCCTTGGAGCTTACAATCTAGGAGGGAGGGGCTAGTGGTACAAAAGGTAGTAACTGTGGGGGATGGACTGGTTGGAGGAGTAGAAGATTCCATTATTAGCTGAGGGCAGGATAGGCTTCCCTGAAGAGAGAGGTTTTCAGAGATCGCCTAAAAGTAAGCAGAGTAGGCGATAGTCTGATAGATTGGGGTAGAGACTTCCAGAGGATGGGGGAGGCTCTGGAGAAGTCCTGGAGATGAGCATGGGAGGAGGAGACAAGGGAGCTAGAAAGCAGGAGGTCGGGGGAGGGGCGGAGAGGACGGTTTTGGTGATATTTGGAGTCAAGATTGTTGCTGTAATTGGGGCGGAGTTATAAATGGCTTTATATGTTATTGTTAATGTTTTGAATTGTATTCGTTTGGCAATGGGAAGCCAGTGGAGGGATTGGCAGAGAGGGGTGGAGGACACTGAGTGGAGGCCAGTGGAGGGATTGGCAGAGAGGGGTGGAGGACACTGAGTGGAGGCCAGTGGAGGGATTGGCAGAGAGGGTTGGAGGATACTGAGTGGAGGCCAGTGGAGGGCATGGCAGAGAGGGGTGGGGGACACTGAGTGGAGGCCAGTGGAGGGATTGGCAGAGAGGGGTGGAGGACACTGAGTGGAGGCCAGTGGAGGGATTGGCAGAGAGGGGTGGAGGACACTGAGTGGAGGTCAGTGGAGGGATTGGCAGAGAGGGATGGAGGACACTGAGTGGAGGCCAGTGGAGGGATTGGCAGAGAGGGGTGGAGGACGCTGAGTGGAGGCCAGTGGAGGGATTGGCAGAGAGGGGTGGAGGACGCTGAATGGAGGCCAGTGAAGGGATTGGCAGAGAGGGGTGGCAGATACAGAACGGTTAGTAAGGCGGATGAGTCTGGCAGCAGCATTCATGATAGACTGAAGAGGGGATAGACTGCGATGATGTCGGCCAATGAGGAGGGAGTTACAATAATCAAGGTAACTATTTTTTGATCTTTATATTATTGATCTTTGTATGTGTTTGGTGGCCCTATGGGCTGGCAGAGAGGCTCAGGTGGTGGTGGGTAGGGGTGGGGGGGGGGGGGCAGTGTCAGATTGATTCTTGCTGGAAGAGTCAAGATTTGCATGTCTAAGGCCGTCTTGATTGCTGTGATATGCCGTTTACAATGAAGATGTTCTCTGCTTCTGCATATTTCATTCTCGTCTCGAATTGTCCAGGTTTGCTGCTTCATTACGGGAATGGCCACGGGCTGAGATATTTATATGACCCCGCACTCCATACACCGTTAAGCACACACATGTGTACTCCAGCTCGCACTGTTAATCCAGACTCAGCAGGTTTTTGCTGAAATATGGCCGCCGCGTATTGATTTTTTTTCCTGAACTCAATTGGATGAAAACTTGTTTGTGTAGCAATATCGGTCTGTCCAGGACCCTGAAACAATACTCTCCACGCAGTGTAATCACCAGTCTGCTTCTTGGGGATAATAACATTTCTGTGAAGAAATAAAGCTATAGGTAGACCCTTTTTCATCTGAATTTCCGGGAGGCATTCCTGGCAGCCCCCTTCAAGCCTCTTCTGTTAACACTTCTATGGCCGTATCTCAGCACCACTTTGATAGGCTCGACACTGGAAGAGTTTTCACACTGAGAGTTTTTTCAAGCCTTTAAAAAAAGAGCCTGAAAAGCTCAAGAAAAATGCTTCCCCATGTATGTGAATTTGTTCCCACTGAGGCGTTGCGCTTACAGCATCTTTGGGGCATGTTTGGGGAGTTCAAAAAAAGCCCCAAAAATGCCTCTTCCCATTGGAATCAATGGAAAACACCTGAAAATCGCCTCTGAGATGTGTTTATTGGTGCAGTTTTAAGTCACGTGTTCTTTATAAAAAACGTTACCTGTATAAAAGACACCTGTCCACAGGAGCAATCAAACCATCAGATTCCAAACTCTCCACCATGGCAAAGACCAAAGAGCTGTCCAAGGATGTCGGACAAGATGGTAGACCTACACAAGGCTGGACTGGGCTACCAAACTATGGCCAAGCAGCTTGGTGAAAAGGTGACAACAGTTGGTGCAATCATTCACAAATGGAAGAAACACAAAACAAGTGTCAGTCTCCCTAGGTCTGGTGCACCATGCAAGATCTCACCTCGTGGAGTGTCAATGATCATGAGAACAGTGAGGAATCATCCCAGAACTACATGTGTGTCTGGGCAGGAGCTGGGAAACGGACAGGCAGGCCTAATAACAATGTAAAGCACAGGCTGATGACAACCACCACCCACAGACCGAAGTCCCTCAGGGCGCGGAGTCTAAGTCCCAGGCTGCCCTTCACCAGGGCCCCTGATGGTGGGGATGGACTTGACGCAGCCAGGAACCAGGTCGCGGCCCCTGAGGCACCCCAGCTGCGGTAATGGCCGCCGCCAATGGCGTGTAGCTAGTGGTAAAGACAATAGAGTAGTCGGGCAGGCCGGGTCAACAACAACGAGACAAAACGGTACAGGACAGCAGACGAGAATCACAGGTCACGAGCTGGGTTCAGCAACGGAGGGTCAGATCAAAGGAGAACACAAAGAATGGTCAGGTCACAAGCCGAATCAGATTCCAGGAGCGTCACGAGAGTCAGGACAGAGTAACAGCAACACCAAGACACAAGACACAAGTGCAAAGAGCATGTGCGGAACACAGGCTTATATGTCATCAGCCACACCCCTCTGTGGGATGGACCTCAGAGACCTGAAGGCATAAAAGATTCCCACCATGCTCTGCAGAAATCCAAGATGGATGCCAGCACATGGAGTAACATAACCTCTGGTAAAAAGGTAGGACCTTGACAGTACCTCCTCCTCAAGGGCCCCTCCCCCTCCGCGGCTCAACAAAAGGTTTCTGAGGAAAGCGGGTATGAAAAGCGCGGAGGAGGGCAGGAGCATGGACATCTGTGGAAGGAACCCAGGAACGTTCCTCGGGACCATAACCACGCCAATGGACCAGGAACTGCAACCGACCGCGCACCAATCGAGAGTCCAGGATCCAGCTCACCTCATACTCCTCATGACCGTCAACCCGGATGGGACGGGGCCGAGGCAGAGAGGTAGTGAAGCGATTGCAGACCAGAGGTTTCAACAGGGATACATGGAAGGTATTGGAGATCCGCATCCCAGGAGGAAGGGCTAGGGCATAGGCCACCGGATTCACCTTGCGGAGAATGCGAAAAGGACCAACAAAACGGTACAGGACAGCAGACGAGAATCACAGGTCACGAGCCGGGTTCAGCAACGGAGGGTCAGATCAAAGGAGAACACAAAGAATGGTCAGGTCACAAGCCGAGTCAGATTCCAGGAGCGTCACGAGAGTCAGAACAGAGTAATAGCAACACAAAGACACAAGACACAAGTGCAAAGAGCATGTGCGGAACACAGGCTTATATGTCATCAGCCACACCCCTCTGTGGGATGGACCTCAGAGACCTGAAGGCATAAACGATTCCCACCATGCTCTGCAGAAATCCAAGATGGATGCCAGCACATGGAGTAACATAACCTCTGGTAAAAAGGTAGGACCTTGACAACGTGAGGATCTTGTCAATGATCTCCAGGTAGCTGGGACCACAGTCACCAAGAAAACAATTGGTAACACACTACTGTGGTCCGACCGCTCCGTGAGGACGTCGGATTGACGAAACACGTAGGGCGGAGCCTAGTAGATGACATCAGGACGTTCCCTGTGGCTGTCGGCGGTTTGTCCGCGGTGAGCAGGGCTCGTCCATCTTCTTTCCTCCTCTATGCGGTTTGTGAAACAGTTTTAAACTTGCTGCACCATCATGCCTTTTCTTTGTTCCTGAATGCCATCCCCACACACATGGAGAAATGATTGCCATATGAAAGGTCCTATCTATTAGTGGCTGCAGAGTATTGCTCTTGATACCTGGATCCTGCCCAATACTACAGAGCATTGCTTCTAGAGTCTGGAAATATTCATCGCTCCCACAGCAAACACGCTTATGCTGATTTATAATTTGATCAGCATTTAGCTCTGGTGAGTTTATCTCATTCATCTGGTGGTGGATTGAACACGGTGGTGTGATATATATATATATGATTTTATGACGGCTATATGGATGTCACACAGAGTTAAATGGATTTTTTGGGTTATTATATATGATTTTCTGGTGTCTATATGGTGTTTGGACTGTTACACAAAGTTCTATGGACTTTTTTTTTTTGTTTATTTTCAGCTCATTCCTATTTATATTTACTTTTTATGTCCATTGGATTGCCAGACAGAGAATCGTGATTCGTCAGTCCAGAGGACACGTCTCCACTGCTCTAGAGTCCAGTGGCGGCATGCTTTACACCACCGCATCCAACACTTGGCATTGCACTTGGTAATGGAAGGCTTGGATGCAGCTGCTTGGCCATGGAAACCCATTCCATGAAGCTCTCTATGCACTGTTGTTGGGCTCATCTGAAGGCCACACCAAGTTTGGAGGTCTTTAGCTATTGACTCTGCAGACAGTTGGCGACTTCTGCGCACTGTGCGCTTCAGCATGTGCTGACCCCGCCCTGTCATGTGACGTGGCCTACCACTTGGTGGCTGAGTTGCTGTTGTTCCCAGTTGCTTCCACTTTGTTATAATCCCACTAACAGTTGAGCGTGGAATATTTAGTAGCCAGGAAATGTCACGGATGGACTTATTGCCCAGGTGGCCACCTATCACGGGACCACGCTTGGAGTCACTGAGCTCCTGAGAGCGACCCATTCTTTCACAAATGTTTGTAGAAGCAGTCTGCATGCCTAGGGGCTTGATTGTATACACCTGTGTCCATGGAGGGGATTGGAACACCTGAATCACATGATTGGGAGGGGATTGGAACAACTGAATCACATGATTTGGAGGGTGGGGCCAATACTTTTGGCAATATAGTGTATTCGCAAGTTTGTGCAATTAAAACCATTAACTGAACAGGCCCCACCTATCCTTGTTTGTCATCTACTCCTAGTACTGCTTTTCTAGAGCAGGCTTTCTCCACCAGGGTGCCCAGGCACCATGGGTTGCCTTGAGGTTTCTTCGAGGGTGCCTTGGCAAATTGTCTAAAAATTGTCCAAAACTTGTATACAAGCCAGTTGGTGGATCAAGCCTCCCTTTTAGGTACACAAAGTCACAGGTTTTCATTGTGCACCATTACAACCTTCTAGTCACTGACATCCTGACAACCAATGACATCATCAGTTGATAAGGAGGCTGTCAGCTTCCTGCACAGCATCCTAGTTAGACCCTCCCCCGCCCCTCTCCATCAGTGCTGGGGTCACATTAGCTCAGTGATGGAGAAAAACTGAGGGAGAAGAGAAACATGGGAATACTAGTCAGTACCAGTGTGCAAAAGTGTATTTGCTTTGGGAGAATAAATCCCCTGTAATGTTGGGTTTCCTACATGTGTGGATGTTGCTGTGTCACTGTATATAAAACTATTAGAATAGTCTTTCACATTTTATAATGGGGTGCCCTGGGACTGTCCATAATTTCAAAGGGTGCCCCGGGACTGTCCATAATTTTAAAGGGTGCCCCGGAACTGTCCATAATTTATTTTAAAGGGTGCCTCTAGACTGTCCATAATTTTAAAGGGTGCCTCCGGACTGTCCATAATCTTAAAGGGTGCCCTGGGACTGTCCACAATTTTAAAGGGTGCCTCGGGACTGTCCATAATTTTAAAGGATACCTCGGGAATGTCCATAATTTTAAAGGGTGCCCCTGGACTGTTCATAATTTTAAAGGGTGCCCCTGGACTGTTCATAATTTTAAAGGGTGCCTCGGGACTGTCCATAATTTTAAAGGGTGCCCCGTGACTGTCCATAATTTCAAAGGGTGCCCCGTGACTGTCCCAAAGGGGCACCCTTTAAAATTTTGGACAGTCCCGGGGCACTTTTAAAATTATGGACAGTCTCGAGGCACCCTTTAAAATTATGAACAG